GCAATCTCGTTTTGGGCCCATTCGACGAATCTACGCCTTGGTTGATCATATTTAAAATGTAATGCCACAAGATTATCTTTCGAATAAAAAAAATTCATGTCAATCGAATAATACATCGTTGTTTTATTGCAATTTAAAGTTCTATACCTCTAAAAAAACACCCTTTAGTATTAATGTTTGAGTACCTTTATAACTGAAAAATATTCCGCGAATTTTCGGCCCCTATTCTTTAACATTAGCCGAAGATAGTCTTAAGAAATTTAAGATTTTAATTTATCCTTATTTAAAATGTGTTTATATTTATCTTTTCAATGAAATTGCGTTTAAAAATTCAATCTCTTGTAAAAATTAAAATTTCATTACAATTTTGGAGTTTTGATTAAGCGAATAGTGATTTCTTGCGGAACACCTGACAAAGTTCCAGAGGACCTTAGAGTTCCGCGGAACTGAGGTTAAAAACCTGTGATACAAATTTTCGTCTTCTATTAAATACATCACGACCGTAATTAATTTTTTGAGAAAAGCATCGAAAGTCGACGCGCTCCAAACAACTTGGAATTCCACGGATTACTCTTTGCTTCTCTTCTCTATTGGGGACTTGCCAGCATTTCTCAGAAAGGATTTGCTGAAGACTATAAGGTGTATGAAGTTAAGGGGACGGACATATAAGGCGTATCCAATGAGGATAAAGTCACATGAGATTTCTAATGCTTTACAAGATTAAGAAGTTTGTGATCTGTGGATTACTAAATAGACTACTTTGAGAGAAATGTAACAAATTTTGATAAAAAAACTTGACTTTGTACAGAGTGTTTTTTTTTCCAGGTATAGAAGTTTAAGTTGGCATTACTTTCCAAGATGGCGACCGATTTAACAGCTGTCAAGTGATTTATTCTCAGTTTGGTTTGGCAATTCATCATGAATAGACTCACGCCTGAACAACGCTTTCAAATTGTGCAATTTTATTTCGAAAATAATGGTCGCGCGATTTTCATAAGCGAATTTTGTTTAGCGATGAAGCGCTCTTCTGATTGAATGGCTACGTCAACAAACAAAACTGCCGCATTTGGAGTGAAGCTAATCCAAAAGTGTATGTCGAAACACCGTTACATCAGGAAAAATTGATTGTTTGGTGCGCTTTATGGGCTGGTGGAATCCTTCTTCAAAAACGATGAAGGCCACAACGTTACAGTCAATGGTGATCTGTATAGAGCCATGATTACTAACTTTTTCATTCCTGAATTGAACAATCATGATGTCCAGGAGCTGTGGTTCCAACAAGACGGCGCAACATGTCACACAGCTCGTGTCACAATCGATTTATTGAAAGACACGTTTGGTGACCGCCTAATTTCACGTTTTGGACCTGTGAATTGGCCTCCAAGATCTTGTGATTTAACACCGCTAGACTATTTTCTGTGGGGCTATGTAAAGTCATTGGTCTATGCGGATAAGCCACAAACGCTTGACCATTTGGAAGACAACATTCGCCGTGTTATTGCCGATATACGGCCACAAATGTTGGAAAAAGTCATCGAAAATTGGACGTCCAGATTGGACTACATCCGAGCCAGCCGTGGCAGTCCTATGCCAGAAATCATATTTAAAATGTAATGCCACAAGATTATCTTTCGAATAAAAAAATTTTTATGTCAATCGAATAATACATCGTTGTTTTATTGCAATTTAAAGTTCTATACCTCTAAAAAAAACACCCTTTATGAGTTGATTGTATCTTTTTTTTTGCAATGAAGATTGTTTTTTTTGTTACTATTAATAATTGATATTAAATTTAACATAAGTTTTCTTTTTATTTTATATATAAAGTGAGGTCCAGTGGTTGAGTGGTACTGTATCTCGCTTCGACACCACAGGTCCAGGGTTCCTTCCGCGGACTGGGCAAGGTCGACTCAACCTTTCATCCCCTCAGTGGCTCGATAAATGAGTACCAAGCTTACTTGGGGACTAAACACTGGGGGTTTCGCTTCAGACTGACCACGTAATCGGGACATTAACTACTGCACCTTAGCACCCAATGGTCACGTATACTGAGATGGGCACACTTAACCTTGTCCCTCATGGGCTGTTGCGTCGTTGAGTTGAGTTTATGCATAAAGTACACTCTAGCGTAGAAGATTTAAAAAAGGAACAAGAAGACAAAGTGCGGCTTCTTTCGTAACCAAGTTAAATTTGTAAAAAAATTTTGAAAAAAGGAGACACTTTATTAAGAAAAACAATTTTTCCACAAAATAATTTTACGCTTTACGCACCAATCAGTCACAGGAAAATATTTTAATTAAACTAAATAATATTTATATTATTTATGTAGTTAAATTGAAATACAGTGAAAATTGCTTAATTCGAAACTGAGGGGACTGAAATATTTCTTGTGTTAAAGGATATTGCAAAAAAGTCATATATTCAACAAAATTAAGTTTATAAGAATACTTTTTATTTGCTTGGATATTTATAAATGGATGTGTATTTAATAAAAATCATTATATTTACTTAGATGTGTAAAAATGCATGTATTCAATAAAAATCGATGAAACAAAAACATTCACAATGAAATTTAATACAAAATTTTGAAGGTTAAAAACAAAACATTTGTTGAGTTTTTGAAAAATAATCTGAGTTTTTTTGTATTGCATCGAATCGTCTAATTTGTTATTCATTTCACCATTGGAATGTGCGTCTAAATAACTGCGCATACTTTTCATGACATTCCTCATTTTGGATGACGCGGGAACAGTAACTGCATTACTCATTTCATTTTCGTCATCAGAATCTGCATTAACGATATTTTTTTAGCTTTGAAAAAACTCCTTAAGTAATTTGTCTGTCATAATGGGGGCTGTACTCACATTATCATTATCTACTGCAACGAATTCTTCCGATGAATCTGCGTGTATGATGTTTTCTGTATTTGGTGTTCAGACCCAGAAGGAAAACCTTTCCGTGTTAAGCGGTTTTCGTTCCGTGTTAAGAGAAAAAATACATGAAAATGCATAGTATGTTGTTGTATTATTTCGTTTTAACCGATATTTTGTCTTAAGCGTTTTCGAGTTAAACGTATTTCACTGTAGATCAGAGGTTCCCAAACTTTTTTTGTCTCATAGGCCCCTTGCCATGTTTTTCGGTTTGGGGTAGACCCCTTCTTAATAATTATTGAATTTTTGCTAATTTATCGACTTAAATACCTTTTTGACAGTTGGTACTACTACTTAGAAAGAATTAAATTTCTAATTGTAATGAAGTATAGTGTTTAAGAATCACATGTCAATTAATTAAATTAAAAGTTATTTAATTCATAAAATAACTGTTAAATAAAATAACTAAACAACAAACAAATTATTTCAATGAGGGGGGGGTGAATCTGGCGCTACAATAGCAAATTTTCAACATTTAGTATCAATCTTGTCAGGTTTAACCTTAAATCTCCTCTGTTAGTAGTGTCCAGCTTCTTTCTTTTTTTGTTTTAGAAATTGGCAACCACGCTGATTTCCTTCTCACTAGGAAAAGCAATTAAAAGCTTCCTCACGATATAACAACCGTATATTTTTTGTACATTAAATTTTAACTATATATAGAGAGAGAGATATAAAGAGTTTTTCAAAAATTGTATTTGTGTTAATTAAATTGGTACGGCCTCATATAAATGCAAAAACACTCCTCCCCTAAAGAAAACTCTAGGCAAACTTACAAACCAGGTAAAAAAAAAAAAACACATGCAAAGTGCACAATCCTACCTACCCTTTGAACCAAAATAATTCATCTCACCTGTCTATTGAAGCGTAACACATTCTCCCTACTTTCTTAAACCTCCCTTTTTCAACAATGCATTCTTAACAGCCGACAAACTGTGCTTTTGTGGGACATCAAAACATTCAAAAAAATGGGAAGAAAGGATTTTTTCTTTTTAAAATTCCTGGGAAAAATCCTTTATAGTCGTATTAATAAAATTAAACATATCGTGGAACTATTTCTCTAAAACAAAATCACAATACATTCAAGACGAAATGACAATTGTTAATTATTATTTATAATGTAAATAAAAATAAAAAATAAAATACTATTTTTTGTTTTACATTTTGGTATTGTAAAACTGTACCTTAGAAAATACATTCCTGAACTATGACATTTTCAAAAGAACAAATGCAAATGCATAATATTCAAAATTTCTTAGTCTCAAAAATTTTAAACACAGAAATATTATACAAATTTCTAAGCAATTAATTTATTTTAATTATAAACACTACACATTAAAACTATTTCGGTAAATATTTTTTAAATCTTTTTAAATGACATTTTTTTTTAAAAAAAAATCCAAATCCTATTTATTTGTTTTTTACAAAATACTGTACCATTACTTGGATATACATATCTTTACTCAAAAAAATCAATAACAAACAACAACTAAAAATAAGCCTTTTGGGTTTGATATATATAAAAAAATATCCTCGATAATTCTTAACTTTGGTCTATTTATAACACATTGCCAAAAAAGGGAAAATAGCAAAAATGTAAACAGGATAAAAATTTGTTTTTGGAGACTGGCTGTTAAAACTGGTCTGTGAAAGAAAGCAAAACAACAAAATAAAACTTTCATAAACTTTTGGGCAGATTGTCGACCTTGCATTATCATATCGCAAAATCTTAAGCACTTTGAGGTTTCATTGTCGGCAGCTGTATACAAATTCTAAACCACCTGATCGCAAAGAGGTTAATTTTTTTTTTCAATTCCTACTGTTAATTCACCCTCTTCATATATATTTATTTAAATATATACATATATATTTTGTTCAAATTTTCAATCGTTAATAAAATACTTTCTATTCATCCATTCGAGTTCAAATACATTTTTTAAGCTTGTAGTGGACGACACTTGATACTAATACATTTTTCCAAATATTAATTCAGACATTAAATGTAATTAATGAATAAATAGTAACAAAAATAATAGTCCAGCAACGTACATGGAAAAGAAAATTGTCCGTGGTATCCCTATAGCGCAATGGATGGCGCGTTGGACTTCTTATCCAAATTTCGTGAGTTCGAATGACATCTGGGATGGCCTAATTTTTGAGAATGGGATTTCTTTTTTACTAAACTATTTTATTAGAATAATTAATTTTAATCAATGAATAAAAGTAACAAACAAAAAAAATAGCCCAACACCCTATATAGAAAGGAAAATTGGAAAATTTCAAGGAAAATCGCCTTTTATTTTGTCACTTAATATTGTGATTCTGTCATATGTATATATATATATATGTTAATTATAACTGTTTAATAAAAAGTAACGAAAATAAAATTTCTCTTTCTTGAACTAAGTAGGAATTGACTAAGTAGGAATTTTGTACATGAAAACTAGCTAATCAGTAAAAAACGTGTTCATCTTAACTATTTTCGATGTTCAATTTGAATATTCTAGATTCCTGAAATATCTGTTAACTCAACTATAGACGACGCAAGGGCGTACACAATGGTGGGGTTTCAGGGTTCACCCCCCATAAACTAACATATTTTAAATTTTTACTGTACAGGTTTACCCTTGGAGCTTTCATCTGCGTGTTTGTTAGAAGAATGTAAGCCCCCCCAAACATATGCCAGTGTACGGTATTGTGGGAACGTTTTGAACAACTAAGCTTCAAGTTAGTAATCAGTGAGATTCAGAATATCTAGATTTTTTCTTTTGTACACGGACCTAACTGATTGAGGCTGAATTTAACAAACAGTTAATTTTAATTTTTTAATCAGAACGATAAATTACTTTCAAAAGTTTAATTTTTACAGAGATAATAAATATGTAATAATAATAGTAAGATTTGATGATCTGGGCAAGTTTTGTACGCATGTGATGGGTTTTTAAAATACCAAAACGAAAGTTGAGACAAAGAAGAGTTTAAAAGATTAATATTAATAAGTAACATGAAATAAATAAATTTATAAAGGTTGAATTTTAAAAGGTTTAAATTTCCTGACTCAAATGCGATTTCTCGCAATTGCTTTAATTCGAAATACTGGCATAAAAATTGTACAATAAATGTACTAAATCATATTGTTACGTAGATCCGGGGTTCGAGGATTTTATGCAAATTATTCACAAAGAACAAGACAGTTCTTTAAGAGTGATGAGAATTTATTGTCAAAAATCCAATCCTTGAGCACTCAGACACAATTATTGATGTCTAAAATACACGTACATAAAAGATTATTCACAAGCAAAAGTAAACATTTTTTATAAATATGAATATACAGCTAAAAATCAAGGGTGTGTGTATGGGGGGGGAATGGCTGTCTCGGAAGTGTTTTGCTGAGTAACATAAGGTTTTAATTAAAAAAAAAAAAACTACGGAAATATAAAATAAAACTATTTATTTATTTATAGGTATAAAAATATACAAATATAGATAAAAAAAATTTTCAAGTATATAAATATATAAAATATTCCACGTAAATTTTATTTCAATTTCATTCAAAACCAGAAAAGAAATTTTATTTCACAAACAGAACTGTTTACACGCAACAGAAAATTTTTGAAACAAATCTTTTAAACATTCTAAAAGGCTTTGTTTCAGCAAGAGAACATTCTGCGTAGAAAAAAAAAAGTACGTGTATTAATATTTAATTACTATCTTCCTTCCATCAGCAAATCAAATGTTTGAAAGGGGAGGAAAAAAATCTTCCATCAACATCATTCTAACTACTAATTACCCACTGCGAACTCAGTAGCTCCAGGAGTCCTTGGGAAATTAAAATGTCAGCACATCTGTTAAATTAATGAATTCTAAGCATCGATTTGTGCTGTACCGCTTTCCAGAACACCGGATATCCTAAGCACTTGTAACAGATGTCGAAATAGGGAATATTATATGAGAGAAGATGGAATGGACATTTATATCTCACGCAAACAGCTTTCGCTTTTCAGGTGGATGTTCGCAGCGCTATGCATGGGAAATCTGGAAATTGCTAAAGGAGATTAAAAAAGGAAATCCTTTAAAAAAGACTCATATAAATCTCTTTTTTAACCATGGGAAAACTTGGCAATTGTTTCGTCGGTGTATTCAAGTGTGTGGGAAAATTAAATGAAGTACAAATATTTTAACATGGTCAAGAGGAACTATAAATAGTGTAATGGTGTTTTGAATTGGACATTATATTTAAAACGTCGTAGTTGATCAGAATAAAGTTTTGAAATAAATTGTACTTTATGTAAATAAATCGGGGGGATATTTAAGGATATTTCGAATAGTACATTGAAAATTGAAATAACAAGACAATGAAAAGAATAAACTTTATTTTTTTAATATTTAATTGTTCGTGTATACAAGTTAGTTCTCTTCTTAGTATGAAAATTAATAAGAAATTTCATGTTAAAAAAATTCATTTAATGGTGGCATCTTCCACATATACGAGGAAGATGCCACCAGTCATAAAGTAAGATGCAACAACACCACAGTAAATAAAAAAATAAGACAAATATTGCCAAATTAAATGTGAAGTAACAATAACTATAGAAAAACAAAAACAAAAAATTGAATTATCTCATAATTAGTTTGCTAAAAACGAATTGTCCTGCAGAACGGGCTATCCTAGTCCTATGGAGATCCCCTGTGCCATTCTAACAGCATAATTATTAATTATAGCTATATTTGACACAATAATATACAGTGTTATAAAGTGGAAAAAATTTTAAAGTTCATTTCATTCATTTCTGTGAACCATGTGGCGTCTTCCCCCAAGTGTAGGGGACAGATGCCACACACGTTTATTTACTTATTGCTGCAGTGTTATGGCCGTTTCTACATGCATCGTATGTGTAACATTATGCGTAACTCACTTAAATTGCTAAAATCTTTTTTAAAATAACAAGCACGTTTATGGATTTTAAATATGAGGAACGGAATATTATAAAAGTTGTACTCACAACTTTAAATGTTCAAAAGATCGAAAGATAAGGCCAATTAAGGACGATTAATTCAGATAAATTCACAAGCCACACTCAATGCCGGATCAGACTCTTCACTCAAGTGGCTCAAAATTGCCACCTATCGAAGCATAAAAGTATTATTAACAAACTGGCGTCTTCCCCCGAATTACCTTATGTAATATTTAAATTCAATTTTAAAATAACCTAGAATTGCTTGGAACTATTAAAAATTTTGTATAAAATCATTACATATAACTAGAAAGATGACAATTTATATCTAATAATTTTTAAAATTGTTTGGTTAACAAACAATTTTTGATGAAGATATTAAATCTGGCAGAATGTTTTTCAATGGCAGAAAATTGTATCGATCGCCATAGTTAATATGATTTCACAACAATGGGCTAAATTCATGACGGTCACATGATAAATGCAATCACGTGTTCTTCACTGAATACAAAACTGTCAATAATATATTGTGCTACTTGTAAAATTATGATAAAATTTCATATTTGATAATTGGATAAAGATATTTAGGTATCTCACAAAATTCTTCAAAAAGTTTTTCAAAATTAAAAAAAAAACTAATATTAGCTGTGTATTTTCAAATCCCGTGCATTTCGTTTACTTATGTGTATTATTATTGTTAACAAATATTTACTTTTTAAAAGAAAATTTCTGTAAAAAGAGCAAAAGTTGTGGCAACAACGAAACGCAAGAACTGATAGGCTGGAAACACGTGACAGTGTTTATCATAAAGCTATTGGCTGGGAACACGTGATTGCCAACCGTATCATCTGAATATGACGTCACATAAATTTAGCCCATTATACATGATTTCAAAATAATTATAGAAAATAAATCAATTAATCGTATTTTTTAAAAAAATATTGTAATAATTTAATCACTAAGTGAAACGTTAGTTTTTCATAAAAAGAACTGAATCGGTATAATATTTCTTTAATACTTATTAAAAATTAATCTAAGATACCATTAATATCATATGCACATACTAGTTATTCGATGTAACTAGTCATTAGAGAACAGCAATAATTAAAGTCCATTAAATCATTTCATTCGCAGTTATCTCGTTTGCAAGCTTATTTTCAACGTCACCGTTAATTTCCAATGGACCAAGAGTCGGCAAAGAGTGACCCGCCACGACAGTCAGTAAATCATACACAATGTTCTGCATATTTGGGTCCAGGGACGTCTTAAGGCCCGGGCCTCGGTTTCAATGGGGGACTCGTCACGTTCTCACAATTCAGCCCCTCAATACGATCCTGATTCGAATAATTTCAACGGTCAAATGTTACTTCCGGTTGTATTCTCCGAAAAACTGGGAATTTCAGAAGATATGTCAACTGGCTATATGTAATGACCGTCGCCCATGTCTAGGTTTACCACCATACACCATTATTACTCATTAAGTCAAATGGCGACACTTGGTCCAGCCGGTCTGTATAGAATTGTAAACTCAAATTCAGTGGCGCAACAGTCCATGAGTGCCAGGGTTTACTGTGCACATACCAGTATACGTGACTATTGGGCACTGACGTGCATGTGCAGATGTCCCGATCAGGTGGTCAGTCTGAAGCAAGACCCCAGTTAATACGAGTTTCACGCTGTCTAATTTTAAGGGTCACGAGTGGGTCCTGCATTTGCGTAGGGGCCACAAGAAGTCTTAAGACGTTCTTGTTTGGGTCGACTTATATTTGTGAGCGAAGTTTTTCCGGCTTGAAGATCAATAATATTAGAAAGAGAAGCAAGTTACCTGATATTAACTTGCGATCTGTGATGAGAATTTCGACGAGTAATCTCATTTCTGATTTCAGAAATAGTGTAGGAAAGTACAATAGGGTACACACATTTGTCTCATTAAACTGATTCTAAAATTAAATGTGCCTGCTGCAATTTATACGTTTTCTGAGATATAACATTAAGGTATGCGACTACGTTCGGAACCGTGATTTTGCAAAAGTGCATATTATTACAATAGAAAATTATTTAAGCACAATATTTTGACAAAAAAATGAACATAGAGAGAGAATGACCCATTTTCAAAATATTCTTTCGTGAAAAATGCTTCTATTATAATAATATTTTGCCTGCATATAGCTCAGACCTCTGTACAGAGGCT